AACCTTAGAACTAGATATTTTTTTTTTGGGTGGGTAGAACTAGACATATTGTGTATAAAAACTGAAAGAATCGACCTGAATAAATTCATCAGCAATAAATTTATCACTATAATTTATCATTGATTATTATTGATTATCACTGATAAATTTATCGATAAATTTGTTGAATTCTCTGCTATTAATTCATCAATGTTTTGGTTATACAGTGTTAGTGATTGTTGAATGATGATTCAATCAAAAATTAATTTGATTATTGATCATGGAATGATAAAAATGATTAATTTGATTATTGATCATGGAATGATAAAAATGATTAATTGACCATACTGCATATTTATCTCTTTACATTGACAAAAAATGATAAATTTATCACTATATTAATATTAAAATTCCATCACAGCAACAACCACATATCCAACAAAATCAGTGATAAATTTATCACTATATTAATATCAAAATTTTAGCATAGCAACAATCCACAGCATATTGAACAAATTAGCTTTTCAGTGATATATCATTGAAACTATAACTAAAAATATATATAATGTTGTAAATATATACATAACAATCTCCAACAAACACACAACAATCTCCACATTTTGATTAACAAATAATTGAAGAAAAAATTACACAAACAATCTCCACAATCATTTAGAACAATATATAAACTCAACGTTGAATATAGCATATCGATGATGGAAGAGAATAATGGTGACAACAGCAGAGGACGGTGGTAATTGAGGTGAGTGGCGTTGAAGGCGATAGAGAACGACGGTGGTTGAAGTGGGTAGCGTTAAAGGCAACGAAGGAGGATGTGTGTCGATTGGAGAAATCATTAGAGAAAGAGAGAGAGAGATGGAGAGAGAGAAAGAGACAGAGAGAGAACAACGAACATGGGCAAAACAAAGCAGGGGTAAAACGAAAAGAAAAAAAGAGCCCCAGGACTTATTGGTGCATAAAATCAAATTTCAAGACTAAAACAAGAATAGCTCTTCAAAGCAGGACCGACCAGTAAAAAAGCCAAAATATAACTAATTTGACAAAAATAAATGTCAAAAAAATATATTTGAATTTTTAAAAATTATTTCTACCCACCGAAGATAAAATTATGTGAAATTGATAAATCTTTTACACATTTATTTATTTTTATTTTATGTTTAGATTATGATCATGTAATGGGTGATTGTTAGGATTTTAATGTGCAATCGATATATTTAATATATGAAATGTTTTTAGTTTTGGATTTTTTAATTTAACGGATTGGTTTAATAATAATATCAAAGTTGTCACTATATTTGACTTACGAAAAAAATAAAAACTAATTTAATGAAAATAAAAACAACCATATATTACATGATTATCGTCCAAATACATAATAAAAATTAATTTGGTAAATAAATAGATAGATAAATAAATGTGTAAAAAATTTATCAATTTTACATAATTTTATCTTTGGTGAATAGAAATAATTTTCAAAAATTCAAAAATATTTTTGTGACAATTATTTTTGTCAAATTAGTTTATATTTTATTAAATTGATAACTTTGTCCTTGAAATTGAGTAATAGTATCTTTAATTGTCTTTATTTAAAATAAGATTCAAAATTCAAGGTGAAATATGTTACTATTGAAAGGTCAGGGAATAAAGTGACGAGAAATTCTATTTCCACACACTTACCTACCTTAGTGCACACACTTAATGAAATTTTATTTTAATGGCAATTATACCATAAAGTAAAATGATCATAATGGATATCAAAATCCTAACCAACCCATATCATCTCTTCTCTCTCTCTCTTTAAAATCAATTCAATTTTTTTAGTTACGAATCCAATGGAAAACAACAGAAAGGAAAAGAATCTTGAATGGTTCGTCGTTAACAACAATAAGACCAATTCTATTCAGAAAATCAAAACATCGAATGATCAAAACGTAGTTCCCTGGTGATTTGAGAGGCTTCTGTGACTTGTCGTTGTCTTCATGGGTAAACAAAATCAATATATAATCCAAATTCAACAAAAACATTGAAACATTACCAATTTATTATAGAAACAGAAAACCCAAAATTAAATCCAGCATAGAAAGTCCACAAAGCTATCTATACCACTGTATCAAGCACAAACGCACACGCATATATAGTTATATAAATGGACTTAAGAAAACAATCCCAAAAGGAGAATTCAAAATCTAATCAACTGGAGTAAGTGACCAACAGAGCAATCATAAGGGGAAGCAATGAATTCAGAATTAGTAAACAAATCAGGGAGTTGGGTGAAAAGTGTACAATATTTCAGTTGATGGTTATAACTGGAATATGTGGTATGTGGAATGAAATAAATAATACCTAATTAAATTCATAACTGTGTGCATTGACAAATAATGTGCACTGAGATAAGTAAATGTGCGGAAATATAATTATCCTAAAGTGACACGAGCCCCAAACTATAGGGACTGGTAGTGTAATTCGCCCAATAATAAAATGGTTAATTACACTTTTTATCTTATAGTTTGACCCAAATTTCACCTTATAGTTTAACTCAAATTTTATTTAGTTTCTATAATTTCAATTTGATCATTCCGTTTAAATTTTTATTAATTTTATCTACGTATACACCTAGAAAATTGACAATTCTCCAAATTATTAATTTTAACCTTCAATTTAGATAGAAAAACCAAATTGAATCCTTGAAAAATTACAAATGTCCCCAAATTGTTAATTTTAACTTGCAATTTAGACATAATGACTAAATTAAAACTAGAGTTAAAAGTGTAAATTGAAAAAATAGGGATTAAAGTTAAATTTGAGTCAAACTATAGAGACAAAAAATGTAATTAACCCACAATAAAAATAACAAAATCATCTTTTATACATTGAGGATTTTTATATAAATTTATAAATTTAATTAGAACCAATTAATGTTACCACTACATTGCTATACAAACAAGGACTTTTCTTAAGTGTGCAACTTACACCTTACACTTACGCCTTTCTGTTTGCTGTCCTGTTTTATGTTTATACCTTCCATTTACACCTTTTGTGTTGGTTGCATATGATGTACAACCTTAAGGAGTTGCAGACCATAATAGTACCCTACAAACAAATTTAATTTATCTTACATTTCTAATTTAATATTACTATATTCATAATTTCTCACTCAGTCTTACATTTTTTTTTTTTTTTTTTTTTTACCTACCTTAGTGCACACACTTAATGAAATTTTATTTTAATGGCAATTATACCCATAAAGTAAAATGATCATAATGGATATCAAAATCCTACCCAACCCATATCATCTCTTCTCTCTCTCTCTTTAAATATCAATTCAATTTTTTTAGTTACGAAATCCATGGAAAACAACAGAAGGAAAAGAATCTTGAATGGTTCGTCGTTAACAACAAAAAGACCAATTTCTATTCAGAAAATCAAAACATCGAATGATCAAAACGTAGTTCCCTGGTGATTTGAGAGGCTTCTGTGACTTGTCGTTGTCTTCATGGGTAAACAAATCAATTATAATCCAAATTCAACAAAAACATTGAAACATTACCAATTTATTATTAGAAAAGAAAACCCAAAATTAAATCCAGCATAGAAAGTCCAACAAGCTATCTATACCACTGTATCAAGCACAAACGCACACGCATATATAGTTATATAAATGGACTTAAGAAAACAATCCAAAAGAGGAATTCAAAATCTAATCAACTGGAGTAAGTGACCAACGAGCAATCATAAGGGGAAGCAATGAATTCAAGAATTAGTAAACAAATCAGGGAGTTGGGTGAAAAGTGTACA